AAAATGTTGTTCTTTCCTTTCTTTTTACCTTTCCTGCTTCCCTGCTCTATCATGGCTGGAGGGATTTTCAAAAGCACTCGGAATCTAGCTACTCTGCTATAATTTGAAATAAGTGTCTAACCTCCCTTTGGGGTCAGTGAGAGCTGCGTTAAGTTCTTTTGAAAACCCCACTCTAATGGACCAAAATTATTGTATTGCCATTTTCAAGTGTTTGAAAGCTTTGTGCTATTTTTATTTTTAAAATAATTAATGGAATAAAAGAGCATCTCTCATAGCACAAGGTATTCTTGTGAGACTCTGAGAAATGGGACAATGGTGTACTTGGATATATTTGATTCCTCAAGTGTGCCAAGAGAATTCTATTGCAAAAGAAAGAAAGAAATTGCTCTGTTTTCTTGTGATGAAGAACCAGTTGGATGCACTATATCATTCAGATTCCATGCACTTTCCAGATCAAATCAAACTTTACTCATAGGCATCTCATTGATACAGGTTGCTCTTCAGTTGCTGGAAAATGCAGTGGCTGGTGGACTGTCATCTTTTGGTGAAATGGCTGATTGATTTGGAGAAAGCATTGGAGAGAATTACTAAGTCTCATCCAGATTTCCGCCTGTGGCTTACTACTGACCCTATCCAGGGCTTTCCCATTGGAATACTTCAGAAGTCTTTAAAGGTACAATACAGGCGTGAAACACCAGCAGAAGACATGACATACCACTCTTATTCATGACATGCCTCACTCCGGCCTTGTCTATACTACCATTTTGTAGATAAAACTTAGGTCAACATCCAGAAGTTGACAAAACATTAACTGCCAAAGGGCGTTTGCACTTGCTCCCTCTGTCAAAAGATCATGTCCACAGTAGGGGCACCATGATTGGCAGTGTGAGCAATGCACTTATGAATATGTATCCCATGGTGCAGTATTGTGGGAAGGCAGAGCTGATCCCTGTGCATCGTGGGATTCTCTCCTGTCCCAGGTTCTCCTACAGCCTCCTCAGCTGCTTGGAGCAGCCCCATGAATAAGTCTGCGAGTTGTCTCTCCTGAGGAATCTCAGCAGCCTATCTCCCTCTCCTTGCAGCAGCAGTCTTCCTGCCTTGTACCTAGCACTCCACTGATTTGCTCTTTGTTTGTTCTCCAAAGGGAGCAGCACACTCAGCTGTCAGATACTTCCTGGACCTTTGAAAGAAGAGAGTACATACCTTAAGGGCAGCAGAGAAATCATTAAGCAGAACAATTGGGAAAGGCATTGTGGGATACTGCTGGAGGCCATATCTGTTGACAAACCACAAGCAGTCTGAACTAGCTCTTTTGTTAATAATAAAGCAAGAGGAAAAGAAAAAAGTGTCTTGCAGGGATGGAAGCTTTTTTGTCACCGAAACTGGACATTTTTCTGGATAAAAGTCACATGGCAGTATATATGCTCTCACTGTTTTGTCCCCAAAAAACATATTTTGGTGACAAAACTTGGTAGTGTTGACAAAACCTTATTCTGGGAAAACTGATTGACCTTGGTGGGAATTTGGCCTGAATATAGTATGCTGCATTTTTTACTTGGTGAGCAAGAATCTATTTTCATCCTCTGGTTGTCCAGATGGTGAGTTTTCACTGATGTGAAAGAAGCTTAAGAGAAGCGTTAATCTGACACTACTTTTAAGCATACATTTTGTTATGATTCCATCAGTAATAGTGAAGACCTTTGTAAATGCCCTTTGGACCCAGACACCACTGTGATGAATGGACTAGAAATACTCAGATTCACCGAAATACTTCCTGTCAGTTCTGTAATGCTGAAAATGTAGAGCTGTCAGAGCTTTTCCCCACTTTGGCGCTCTGCAGGTGGGGGCCTACAAGAGAGCTTCAAAACCTTGCCTCTACAGGCACTGGTTACAAAAAACTTCCCCCCAGAATCATAATACACAGATTTTGGGGAATCACTGCCACCTTCAAGTGCTTTTTTATCCATAAAACCATGGGTGAACACTTGAAACCACCCCTGGGGGAACCCCAAGTTCTTTTGCCGCAAAAGAGCTTAGAAAAAAAGAAAAGAGAAAAACAAGCTGTAGTCTCTGGTTGCTGACCCCTCAGTCCAGGGATGGGCAAAAGGGCCTATGCTGGCCAGACGTGGCCCGCCAAGCGGGTGGATCCAGCCCGCGGAAACCCTGCTGGCTCCCCCGCCCTCAGGCCAATTAGGGCCTGGGAGCAGGGGAGCTGCATGAAGCTTCCTTCGCCCTTCCCCTTTTTTATCCATAAAACCATGGGTGAACACTTGAAACCACCCCTGGGGGAACCCCAAGTTCTTTTGCCGCAAAAGAGCTTAGAAAAAAAGAAAAGAGAAAAACAAGCTGTAGTCTCTGGTTGCTGACCCCTCAGTCCAGGGATGGGCAAAAGGGCCTATGCTGGCCAGACGTGGCCCGCCAAGCGGGTGGATCCAGCCCGCGGAAACCCTGCTGGCTCCCCCGCCCTCAGGCCAATTAGGGCCTGGGAGCAGGGGAGCTGCATGAAGCTTCCTTCGCCCTTCCCCAGCCCTGCGAGGAGCCCACAGCACTTTGAAGTGCTGCAGGCTCCTCGCAGGGTGGGAGGAGGCTTCCCATGCTCTCCCCCCCCATGCCCACTCCCAGTCTAATCAGGGCATGGGGGCAAGGGAGCGTGTGAAGTCTCCTCCTGCCTTGCCAGGAGCGTGAGACACTTCAAAGTGCTACGTGCTCCTGGCAGGGCAGAGGAAACTTCTTGCATTTCACCCCGCCCCTCACGGGGTGGCCCAGGGCTACTTCACAAATTTTTGAAGTGACTCTTGGGAAAAAATTATTGCCCACCCTTGCCTCAGTCTGAGGCATGCAGATACACACAGTCAGACAGACCTTCCAGGACACAAGAATAAAATCATGCATGTATGCCTAGTGAGAAGGGAGGGCAAAGGGGTTTGCCCATCCCCAGACCAATCATGGTCTGGGAGTGGGGTAGCCCTGCCCCTTCCAGTTTAGACCCCGCCCCTCACGGGGTGGCCCAGGGCTACTTCACAAATTTTTGAAGTGACTCTTGGGAAAAAATTATTGCCCACCCTTGCCTCAGTCTGAGGCATGCAGATACACACAGTCAGACAGACCTTCCAGGACACAAGAATAAAATCATTACCTTAAAAGAAGTGATTTTTATTAGAAAACAAAAGATAAACTTGATAAAGCATACTTGGTTGCTAGATGTTACAGAGCAACTAAGGAACACAAATTAAGATACAGAGAAAAGTCTCTGGGCACAAAGCAAATGGGGATGGGAAGTATAATTCATACAGAGTAGTTCAAATCAAACCACAAAATAAAGAAAATTACCCTGAACGTGACTGGATTCACTTTTCCCTTTACTTACTTCCAATTTTCTCTTTGGCTAGGTCTACACTATAGATTTTTTTCAGAAAAAGCTATGCAAATTGCGCTCTGCAATTTGCATAGCTTTTTCCAATCACTTTTCAGGAAGAGGCTTTTTCCACCATTTGGCCCAGCCTAGATGGGGCCAAATGGCAGAAAAGCCTCCTTTTTCAGCAGACCCCTTATTTTTTGTAGAATGAGGTACAGCTGGTCTCTGCCTTATGAATGGGTTACGTACCAAATACCTGGTCGTAACTTGATTTGTTCTTAGGTCGGGAATACATGCTTTTAAATATGGCTGCATTGTTTGTAAGAGCGGATGGTGCATTCGTAAGTCAGGGACTGGCTGTAATGGGGTTAATGGAAGGTTGGTCATAAGTGCGAACGGTCGTAAGTCGACACGTTCATAACTCGAGGACCAGCTGTATAAAGGGCTCCCCGAAAGAGCATGTTTGCTCTTACGCTAAAAAAAGCAGAAGAGCAAATGCATTCCTTAGACATGGCAGACACCCCTTGCATCCCGGAAAACCCTTGCAATGTAGACATACCTTTTGTTCAGTCCATTCCCATGCCCCAAATTCCTTGGAGACATAGTACTCCTGCCTATATTTAAATCATTTTGTGTCTCTCACCTCCTCATTTATCTCTCCCACACAAAGAAAGCAGGCAAGGAATCTATATCCAATTCAAATTTCAACCCTCTATCTCAATTGGTTCTCCTGGCCCCCTGGCCAACACCTTTGCTAGGTACCTGAGTTAACCCCTTAGTCACCAAGTGCTGCTCAGGACTCCTCCTGTCCATTACAAGAACAGAGATCTGTTTCTAGCTGCTTAACATTGTCAATGGCCAAACGTTCGATAGGACAATGTTTCCAGCTGCTAAATAAGGATGAAGCATTAATCACCAGCTAGGTGATCTTGTTATTTATAAACAGCATGCCAGAGATGTGGTGCTAATGTTCTTTTTGTGATGACTTTATTTCTGTGGTTATAAATCATTGCTGTGCCAATAATCATTTTTTTTCTGATGGATGTTAGAATAGCAGAGTGACATTTAAGACACAGTCTTTGGTTCAGATATGATTTCTACTGTATCAATGACCTCTTTAAAACATTCGTTACAGGCAGGGCTTAATCCCAGAGCTGAAAAAAATAGATATGTGTATATCGTCAATTTAAGGCTGCAGATATCTACTTTGTGTGCTCAGCCTAAGGTTTGCAAGCCCAAGTTAGGGTTTTTGTGACATTTGAGCTAAGAATCTGTCTATGCCTCAATTTTGCCATCTGCAGGATACAGGACTTGTAATCTTTACCTTTCTCCTAAGGCAAAATTAATTAAAATGTGTCATTCAGAATATTTGAATTATATTTCAAAGTACAATTAAGCATACCTAATAAACGATTACTATTGTTATTGAAATAATATACAACTGCTCTTTATATTTTTAACATGAAGTATAGAGCAAAAGTGTAATGTTCATAACTTTATGTAGCAATTTTCAAAACAATTGACAGGTTTTTTCCTTTTGCTAGGTTGTAACAGAACCTCCAAATGGACTGAAACTGAATATGCGAGCCACCTACTTCAAAATTCCCCATGAAGCCATTGAGCAATGCCCACATGGCGCATTTAAATCTCTGGTCTATGTCTTAGCATTTTTCCATGCTGTAGTCCAGGAGAGAAGGAAGTTTGGGAAGATTGGCTGGAATGTACCATATGATTTTAATGAATCGGATTTCCAGGTAAGAAATAAATGCTAATAGTCCTTGTCTTGAGTTTACACACGTTACCTTTGCAAATGTGCTATCTATCCAACCTCCCTTTCACAGGAAGTTACCGTGCTTCTCCTTTGTCTGTCATTACAGACACTGTGAACCCCATGAGTCTATAAGGTTAATTTTAACCAGTATCAGGATTACTGAGAATAATAAACCAGATTACTGATCCACCCTCTTTATATTTCCCCCCCACCCCCGCTGCCTGTTTGTTGAGACTTAATTTTCATTGTTTTTTGAGGAAAACGTGTAAATTGATGTATAAATTAGAATCGTGTGATGGCTAAATAAGTCTGTATTCTTGTGTGACTAATTTGTGACTTCTCATCCACCATGTTGTAAAAATTGTTACTAGGTGTGCATGGAAATCCTGAATACGTACTTGACCAAAGCCTACCAGCAAAATGATGACAAAATTCCATGGGGTAGTCTCAAGTATCTCATTGGAGAGGTAAATGCATACAATAGTGTGGTTGTTAAGTAGCTCTGATGGTAAAAAAAAAAATCATGCGAAGAAGGACAACACTTGCAAAAAGATCTATCATATCTTCAAGCAAAGTGGGGTAAGGTTCTGTCCTGGCTCCTCCAAGAAATTTCTGCATGGCCCTGAGTAAGTCACTTAATCACTTTGCCTCAGTGAAAAAGGGACATAACACTTACCTACACCATGGAGAAGCTGGGATTCTTAATTGCAGATCAGAAAACTCTCGGAATCCTTTGTTGAAAAGCACCATGAAGAATAGCTGCAAAGAATTACCTTTACAAAAAGCCAGTGCCAGAGTATGGACTGTATGACGGGATATTTATGTATTCCAGGAGCATTGAGACAGTGCTTTTAGCTCCAAAGTTCCCAGGTTCAATGCTGCCTGGTAATGACTAAGGCCCATCAGTGTTACTAGTCGGGGGGCTCATCTAAGATGAACTTCTGGGAGGTCTCTGAAGTTTGGGATGTGATTCCTCAGCTGGGAGCAGTATGTAACCCGGGGTACTGAGAGACTGGTGAGTTTGCTCTACAGCCTTAGCTACTAACCAGTGGATTTTAGCTGATGTAATAGAGGCTCATGCCTTTAGCATCTCAGGTTCCAGGTTCAATCCCACCTGCTGACCACATGGGTTCTTCAGCATTATAGCTATGAAGCACTTCAAAGCTCCCTCTACATGCCATGTATAGCGTATTGCAGCTGGTAAGGAAACTGAATTTTTTATCTTAGTGAGCTCTTGGCCCTTTTTGGTCTCTGCAGTTGTCAGGCTTGAAAAGACCAGCTCTGTCACGGTCTACATCTGGCAGCCATCTCTAGACTCACCCGAGTGTGCTGGTACTTCCTGATTTTGCCCCATTAAGAGGAGCTACAGTAGAATCATAGAATTTTCTCATAATGGGCCAGTGTACAACATTTTCAAAAGTTTTACTTATTGCAAGTAAGCATGTTATATACAAATAGATTCACTCATTTCTAGGTCATGTATGGTGGGCGTGCAATTGACAGCTTTGATCGTCGTATTCTGACCATATATATGGATGAGTATTTAGGGGATTTCATATTTGACACATTCCAACCATTCCATTTTTATAAAAATGATGAAGTTGATTATAAAATCCCAACAGGAGACACAAAGGATAACTTTGTTGGTAAGAAATGCATTTTATTCCATATGAATTAGTATTTAAAAATTCTACCTGCAATATTTTTTTCTTTCTGAATTTCTATTGTTGTAAAAGGGGGATAGCAAACTTCAGCCATCCATTGTGTGTATTGATTGAAATGTTTTTGTTCCATTGGTTAATATGCCCAGATGTGTCTAATTCTGTGAGAGTCTAGTGGTCAGCTCATCACTCTTTAGTTTACAAATCTAAAACATTATTTACTTTTTAAACATTAAACACCTTTTATCTGAGTAGATCTGGGAGCTGTATCTTAATACACTTCATTTTGATGAATCTCATATATTTTGGTGTTATAGAGGAGTTAGAGTCTCTGCCACTTGCTAATACCCCAGAGGTGTTTGGTCTTCATCCTAATGCTGAAATTGGATACTATACACAGGCTGCTCGAGATATGTGGTCTCATCTACTTGAGCTGCAACCTCAAACAGGTATGATTCTGTAATCCAGACTACAGTTCTTTCAAACAAAAAGTAAATCCTGAATGCCTGAGATCTTGGCCTTGTACCTTCTTGTACCTGGGCAACCTATTGTGTTTGCCTGGCCACTGGCTTCAGCATGGCTGCATGTGGACACAGGAGTTGTTTCTCTATGCAAGATGTTGTGGGAGAGGAACCAGAATCTGATAATATTTAAAAACCTGTAGGAAAAGTTTGAATTCATGTCATATTGAATTTAGATTAAGAGAAAAAGTAAAAGTTATTGAGCGCTCATTAAACTGTTTTCATTACAGGGGAATCTAGTACTGGAATTAGTCGAGATGAATATATTGGACAGGTTGCAAAGGACATAGAAAATAAGATACCTCAGATATTTGATCTTGACCAGATAAGAAAGATTTTGGGAACAGAAATTTCACCGACAACAGTTGTACTATTGCAGGAATTGGAACGTTTTAACAAACTGATCATCCGTATGTCCAGATCACTAGCTGAACTACAGAGAGTAAGGCTAGTCCATTTCAAAGGGAACCCTCCTGAATCCAGTCCGCTGGGCTTTGAAATTCCTAAATTCTGCCTTTGCAATTCTCCCACAGGCTTTGGCTGGGGAAGTTGGAATGAGCAGTGAACTGGATGAAGTGGCTCGAGCTCTCTTTAATGGACACATCCCCAGCATCTGGAGAAAGCTGGCACCAGACACACTAAAAACACTTGGAAACTGGATGATTTACTTTAGGAATAGGTATAATCAGTACACATCCTGGGTGAGTAACAGAGAAATCCTCTTCTATGGATGATTTACTGCCCAAATTACAGTGTATGGTTTTGGGTTGGGGGCCGCTGACCCACAGAAAAATCAGTCAGAGACCACATACAAGTGAGAAGCAAAAAGAAAAAAAACCCTCACTGATGTGGCCCTGACTGATAAGAGACACTCTCCACATTCCCTTTGCACACCAGAGCCTTGGGGCACCCAGGCTAGTACATTTTGTGTGCTCCAGCCCAGCGTGTGGATGGTGGAAGTAGTGAGGGGGTGAAGCCCCAGCACAGCTCCTCAGTGCTGGGTGACTTCCAGGGCCCTACATTCCCCACCCCCGGTCTATAGGATTTAAATTCCTGATATAAAATGCTTTAAATAAAAGATATTTGAAACAAACCCATTCAGTTACAGGAGTGTCACTATGTACAACATTACTGAAACATTGTAGTGTGCTACTGAGCTTCATTGGCCATTCTTTAGAGCTGCTTAGCACCTGCAGCTTCCATTTAAAGCCAGTGAGAGCTGCAGGTGCTTAGTGCTGAACCCTCTGTTTTTGAATAAAGAAATTGGCACTTTCTTCATGGGACAGAAGGTCAGAATTGAAAATGTTCTCGTATGATTGATTCCAGGTTAATGAGGGTGAACCAAATGTTATGTGGCTCTCAGGACTACATATTCCAGAGTCTTATCTCACAGCACTTGTTCAAGCCACCTGTAGGAAAAATGGTTGGCCACTGGATCGCTCCACCCTGTACACACAAGTGACCCAGTATGCTACTGCAGAGGAAGTCACCGAACGCTCTGGACAAGGTAGCACTTTCCAAAGCACAGTTTGAGAAAGGAGTTAACTGAGCTGTGCATTTAGTGAGGAAGGCCAGGATTTACTGCCAAGGTGTCATCATAGTCTCTGACACCGTCGGTGATGATAACCAGAAGGCAGCTTGTATGTGTGCTCAATGATGTGTGTGGTGTTGACTTGTGCACTCAGACTCCACAGTAGACTGCAAGATCGCTCCCAAAGACCACAAATCAGATAAGGATTGAAGGTGCCCAGCCAGGTTTCTTATTAAGTGAAGTATAGTAATAGTTGTCAGTAGATTCTACTGAACCACTACGCATATGCAATTTATAACAATGGAATGACTCAATCAGTAGAACATTTCCATTGCCCCCAGGTCATCCAAAGACTATCCCCCCAAGACACCACTTTATATATAGGTACTAACAACTTACACATCACTGCTGACTTCAGGTTGCCACCCATCACCCTGTGTCTTGTGATCTGATTAGATCATCTCTATCCATCATGCTGTCATTTTAGACCTTTTCCTGAACCTGGGTCAGTATCTGTGGGGAGTGTGTACCAACAACTTTTTTTAATGAGCTGGTGGTACCATATACTTTCAACTTACGACCAGTACCAATTATTGTTCTGCAGTTGGTACCTAATACCAATTACTGGTCTATACCTGGGCCTATTACCAATTAATGTTTTGCACTCTCAGCTCTGTCTCTTGCTCACACTTAGCTTTGCTTTATGTTAGACATATTTTGTCTATTGTTAGCTAGGCCTCAGGCCTCAAACCAGACCTGTGCTACATGGGCTTTTGTTTCAGCCCTTCATCTTACTACAGGCTGCAAACACAATGGCCATTTTATAAAGCTGACGAGTGTTAGTTTGTTTCAACTTATGTCTTTGCAGCCAAGAACTTGGTCATTCAGTAGAAGGAACTAATATCAAGGTATTCAGCAGAAATGGGAGTTAAGCTCTGTCCATACTTAAAATGCTACAGCAGCACAGCTATGAGTACATGGCTGTAGTGCTTCATTGTGGACATACAACAAAGGGAGAGGGTCTCCAGGCACTGTAGTAAATCCATTTCCCTGAGAGGTGGGAGCTTCCATGAACCTAGCAGAATACATGTGGGATTAGGGTAGGAGTATGGATTTGTCACACCTCTTGATGTTGCTGGACTGGTCTAGTATTCTAGATTAACACAACCCTGAAAAGGGCCTGATATTGTGCACCACAACAACTAACCTTTAAATTCCTAGAAAATCACCGGGATTCACAAAGCCTAGGTTTGGCGCTTAAGCTGCATGTACAATCAGTGGAGGGTGATAGGTGCTTAAGAATGGAATTAACCAAAAACAGTACATAAGCAGGGTTACTGGAGCTAGCCAATGGCGATCTGTGGAAGAGAAGATGTGCTAGGCCCCATCCCTCAGTCCAGCTAGCGTTGTCCTCTGCAGCTGAAATCTTTCTTGGATTTGGGTGCTGCAGATATTTCTTACAGGAAACAGCAGTGGGGGCTCCTAACTTTTAGCTCAATAGTGAGGATACTCATCTGGGATGTAGGAACTCTCAATTCCCCCATGCTGCCTAATTTGACCAAATGAGTGCTCTTTCCACTTCTGTGGGGAATTCCCTCCGTTGCATTCATTGACACAGTTGCACTTCATATAATTACCGTAAAATCTCGATTATAATGCGCACCTATGTATAGTGCACATCCTGAGTTTAGACTCTTAAAATCATGAAAAACCCAAACTCCTATGTATAATGCACACCCATTATACAGGAGAATGGGAGGGAAGGAACAGGAAGGAAACCTGCCCCCCGCCCAGCTACCCATGCACCAAGCTCGCGCCTGCCGGGGGTGCGCCTCCCCCACCCAGCTTGTGCCTGCCGAGGGTGAGTTTAAAACTTTAAAAAAAAAACCTCCTATGGATAATGTCATCTAAAAAAAGGGGGGAAAAGTGTGCATTATACTTGAGATTTTATGGTAGTGAGTCACTGGAGTAAATTACTAGCTTCTGGGTGTTTCAGGTGAGTGTTTTACCTACTAGCCTATAGTCAGTTTCATGCTCGCTGGCCCATCCTGCTTCATTCAGTATTTATAGACCCTAAAACAGCTTCAAAAGGTGAGAATGAGGGAATCCCATACCAGACTAGATCGGTTAGCAAGAGCACTCATCTGAGAGGTGGTAGATCTCTGGTCAAATCACTTCTTCTGCGCAGGGGGATACTTGACTTGAAGTTAGGCGGTCTCTCATCTCAGCTGAGTATCCTAATAGGGCTACCACTTATGAGGATCCTCCTTCCCCCATAGCATATGGAGTTAGATGGCCCCTAGGTTTGCCTAGCTTAGACCCTGCAGGCATGCATAGTGGATTGCCTGGATATCACTGGGGCTTTGGCATGTGGACACCTACAGGGACACAGTAGTGATACTTAGGGATCTTTTACAGGAAAATATTAGGCACTGAGTGAGTTTAGGCAGCAGTTAAGGGAGGGTTTGGTGAATAACAGTGAAGCCTAAAGCCCTGATTTGGGAACCTTAAGCATCTTTGCAAATGTAGCCCGTTAGGGGTCAAATGGAGGGCTGGGAGTCAAGACTCCTGGGCAACATTTATTGCTTTGCTATTAGCTTTCTATTTGACATTAGGCAAATATACATTTTCCACGGTAGCTTCCTCATCAGTAAAAATACCATTTCACAAGAATGCTAAGGGTTTATTAGTTAATATAAAGCTGTTGGACAGAAGGCTAACTTAGCAGTAATTAATTATCAGAGCAGTTGTTAATTATATTATTATTATTATTAGTCATCAACAAACTGGGAATAGTTGAACATTTGTATTGTTTTTGTAAAAAAAAATTCATTTCTGTCAACCTAATTTTCAACGTATTAATTCATCTGAGACATAGGAAGAGTTGTACGAGTACAGTCCAGGTGTCCATTATGTCCCACAGAATTAATTTGCAATTGGTTCAAAGGTGTTGAGGTGCTAGGCAATAACATGCCCTGGGCATTCAGAGACTGATTTATCACTTGAAGCATCAGGCCCTTTAAAAACATTTTGCCTAGAGGGGGGCATAGGTTTGAAAAAAATGTTGGCGATGCTCAGAATACCCAAAGCCAGCACCCTTGCTCCCGAACTGCCTAAGATGTTGGATGAGGAAAGGGGGTGGTAGGCAGGGTTATTCATAGTGAGGGGGAGGTGCAGGGCCCAGAGCAATCCCCTAGTGCAGGCACTGCCCTGCTCCACCCCTGCACCTTGCTGAAGTTGCCTCCCCCGAGCAATGCAAACTGAGGGATTACTGCGATGTCTGGTTCAAGGCAGTGGTAGGGTAAAGCCGTCCACATATTCACTGTGTCTGTGGGAGCCAGAGCAGCCTGGCAGCCTGCTCCACCCTGTCATCTTCTTGCAGCCTCCTGCGCTCTCTGCTTCTCCATAGTGGTGGGAAGCAGATCACCTGGAGCAGTGCACAGAGACCCCACCTCCCCTGGCCACAGGAGTGGCCATGCCAGCAGCCCTAGTAAGCAAGCCACTGGAAGCCACTCTAACCCTACTGCACTGCTGGCAGAGCCCCCAAGGCATTTTAAATTGCACCAGGGCAGCTGGCAGGGCCGGAGGACATAGGGGGTGAGGGGGGGGGGAGGAGAGAATGCATGGGGCAGTAGGTGTGAGTTTTCATGGAACCCAGCTCCGGGCCAGGAATGTTCCTGGTGACAGGGCTTCATAAGCCCATGGAACTCACCGTCTACGGGCCTAGATAGTACAACTGAAGATAAAAACATTTTTAATTTAAAAAATGGCATTAAATTGGCTTGTGCTTGATTCACAATAAGCATACATAGGACTTAGTGGCAGTATTTCAATGCACTGAAGTTTACTGTAATCCTATCCTAACAAGAGTCTTAAAAAATCTTTTCTGCATGGATTCCTTTTCTACTTGCTGCAGGATGCTTTATTTCTGGTCTATATCTGGAAGGTGCAGACTGGGACATTGAGAACTGCTGTCTTGCCCGGAGCAAGCCCAAAGTGTTGGTGGTAGATCTGCCTATTCTAAAGATAATTCCCGTTGAAGCATATCGCCTCAAACTACAGGTATGAACACCTTTCCTCAACCACAGATTGACAGGCTCAATTTACCACAGGCAGAGCACATACAGATATGATTGTTTTAAACAACAAAATGGCTTTGGAGATGAATGCATCTGAAACAGATAAGACATCATTTTTGTCTCCCTAAATTTGATTTCTCTGCTATTAGTTGGTATCTTTGGTGAAACATTGAGTTTTTAGCCAGTTAGGATTACAGTAGGAAATGGGAAAATGGATATATCCTCATCACTCTCTCTGTCCCAGCCAGTGATTTAAATTAAGATGCTCTTAATATCATATATCTAAAATTCTAATAGTAAATGCAAGTTTTTTACATTTATAGTAAGGATCCAATCCTACAAACCCTAAGTCTTGTTAAGGATCCTTATTCATGTGGTAGTTCCTCTGTCATGTGCCTATTATATTCAAACAATACCTGCCTTTCTCTTGCCTTTAGAATACATTCCGGACACCTGTGTACACAACTTCCACAAGAAGAAATGCTATGGGCGTTGGTTTAGTTTTTGAAGCTGATCTTTCAACCACAAAGCATATTTCTCATTGGGTGCTCCAAGGAGTCTGTCTCACTTTGAACTCTGACTGACACTGCAAACAGCCCATTTACCATATCTGACATGAACTGGTAGAGATGCTGAGAACAATTTATGAAGTCAAATTATGCCAAGAATCACTGGATCAAGTTTTTTGGGGCCTGCATTTTCAAGAGAATCCTATTATTTTTAAACAGGCCTAGATATATTTGCTGCAAATACTTATTTTGAAAACTTTCCTACGATGTTAAGGTTTAGTAAATACAAAAGTACCATGTAGTTTGTTAACTTGTATTTAATTCTGTCTGGATGTTTAATGACAAATTTTAGCCATTTATTTCAATTTATATTTAACTTTTTCTGTACCACTGAAAAATAAAGATTTTCGCTGTTTGGTCTAGAGAGTTCTTAAAATGAAACAATCTCATTTACAAATACTATGTCTGGTTGGTAAGACTCTAAGCTGTTTTCACTTGTGTGTGTGTCCCCCTCACCCCCACTACTGTCTTTCTGTACAAGAGATTCTTTTCATGCTCAAAGAGCAAAAGTCGATTGTTTGGTCATGGCCAGAAATTGGTGTTGGTTTCCATATCATTGTAGTTTCAGGCACAGATGGGAATTAGATTAGCTAGTGCTCTGGAAGTAATCCAATGATCTAGAGGATAAGAACCTACTTCAAACTTCTCCTAAGAAATTTTCTTTTATTAGTTTAGATCATGAATGCAGCAGCATTTTGAAATCTTTATTTGCTCACTTCTGCTTCTTGTGATTACAGACAAGTCATACTGTTGCAAGAATGAATGTGGCAGCTAACTCCCAGAAATTTAGGAGTTAAAAGAATATGGTTACTCCCAATATGCATTTGAAATTTTTATGTTGTATGTGTATTAGGGGTTGGGAGAAAGGAAGGAAACAGGCACAGAGCTGGAATGTTATTGGCAGAGTTAAAGCAGGAATAGTGCTTGGGATCATAGGAATCAGATAGGACAAGTCAAAGATAAAGGATGTCAGAATGAGTATTGAGTGCCAGCGTGACAGTACCCTAAGGAAAGCCAGGTTCTCTAGCATTGATTTCCTGTGGTCACTTAGGGTACGTCTAGACTACATGCCTCTGTCGCCAGAGGCATGTAGATTAGGCTACCAGGCATAGGAAAATGAAGCGGCGATTTAAATAATTGCCGCTTCATTTAAATTTACATGGCTGCCGCGCTGAGCTGACAGCTGATCAGCATGATAGTCTGGACGCGCGGGTGCCGACATCAAAGGTATTTGTCGACCACCCAGGTATGCCTCCTGGGATGAGGTTTATCTGGGTGGTCGACAAATACCTTTGATGTCGCCACCCACGCGTCCCTAATCTACATGCCTCTGGCGACAGAGGAATGTAGTCTAGACGTACCCTTAGGTAGGTCACTTCAACATATGGCTTAAAATTATGAGATATATCCACTGCTGTAAAGTACCTTGAGATCTATGGCTGAAGTATGCTGCAGAATCTTCCAAATGTCTGGACTGAGGAGATTTAAAGACAAATATTTCTGTTTATTTGCTACTCGAGGTCACTAAACCAAAACAGATTTTAATATTGTGGGCTAAAGAAAAACATTTCCCTTTGTTTAAAGCTCGGTAAATAATTTCTCCTTTGAACTGTAGATTTTCCCCACTCCTTGTAAAAAAACACCAAGAGAATTTGTACTTTACTAAAATGTAAATTATTAGCAATGGAATTCTCTAAACTACTTAATATTGAGAATGGTCTGTTTTCAGTATGAGGACTAGGGCTCCAAAGGTTAACACTGCCAGCTAACTCTAAAAATACCATTTGAATTTTTCATCCTTCTGGGAGTGTACCTCAGAATGAGCCTGGTGTCTCCATAAAGTTGTTTCAAACTTAAAACAAAAACAAATAAATCATTGGTTAGGTCTGATGGTTTTTATGCTGTTATACAATATACAGGCTAAGTATAAAAACAAACATTTGAATAGTTCACTTTTTGTGCAGTGTATTATTTTTTACACCTTAGTAAGGCGCTTCAAGAGCCTTGTTCAAAAGGCAACATAGTGCAAAGTATTAATTAGTGTAAGATTAATAGGAACCATTCAATTTCTAAACACCAAAACAGAAGTCTGCTTTCTGTTAGGACAGTGTTTGTACTCTCTCCATGAAGACTTACAAACAGTTTTTCAATCAGTGTTTTCTTTCCTACTCACCCACCAGTTATATACTCGTGACCATTTGACACTTAAGAATTACGTAAGGGGACACAAATCAAACTACAGGATTAATAAAATAAAATTTGTTGGGAATTTTCTAACAGAGAGAAATGTAACAAAAATATGAACATGGTTTGATCAGGACCACCTGAAAAAAGTTCTCTCATAGGTCATCTTAACACATATGTACATCTGCATTATTTTTAATCTGCCGTGAGAAGGGCTTTGTCATGAAAGTTGGAGTCTGTGTATGGAAATGCTACATACACATCATCAAAACTTCAAAGGAACATTGCCATTTTAAACATTAACAGCCAATACATGTTGCTGGAGGTTTATAATTAATATATCTTTTCATTAAATGTTGATTAATAATGCAGACTGTAGCCTGTGCTTTTGTCCATATACACAGTTATAGTAAATGGAGTAGTATTTAGAAGCAAGCAGTCAGGTATACCTAGATTTGGCCACAGCTTTTAGTAATTATATACTTTGCAATATGAACAGAGAATCTCAGTTGTGTTTCACTGAAATAGGAGAATCTATTGCTGACAGATCTGGAAAAGATTTGGCATGCATGAAGCATTAAAAGAAACTTTACTGCGATGAAATTATGTTATTTGATCACAGTGCATAAAAAGCAACAGAGTAATAGAGCATCACATCAATCATTTCACTTAAACAGTTCTGTCTGTCCCTGGATGCTTTCGGACCACTTTACTTCCATTGACCTGATCCACTGCTAATGTTTCAACCTCTGGTGGAGTCTGGGATGTTGTTACATGGTGAATTCGATGTGCCACACCAATATGTGCCTTGTGTTGCTTCTCTTTTGCTGGACTTTGTGATTCTCCTGAAGTGCGTTCTGAAGCAATGGGTGGAATAACTAAAGGCCGTTCTTTGATAAGGTGGATCTCTGCAGTTTCCCTGGCCAATAAAAATGGAGTGGGATCAGGCATAGCATCAACAGGCTCTCGCAACAGCAGCTTTCGGCTATCCGATCCTAATCTATAGGCCTCTTCGAATTCTGGGTTTAGCGGTGTTGATAGACTTTTTTTCATTCTGCGTCGTGGGGTCTCAGGTAGCTTATCTTTGGGAGGGGCTGGCTTGTAGCTGGACAGTACTGGACTTCCAGATGGGGTGGCATCAGAAGTTCCACTTACACTCATAAGCTTTTTCTTGGTAGCATGCAGTTGTGATGTCAGATATGCAATAGTGCTTGCTCGCTGCTCTAGTTCACTTGACAGCATATTTAGCTTATGGCTTTTCATTTTTAACTCTTCTAAATACTTCTTTTCTCTTTCTTTGATGGTGTTTTCCAGCACCATTATCATTGCAGTTTTCTGTTCCAGTTCCTTTAATAATTCATTATTTTCAGCCTCTTTGACTTTCAGCTGAGCCTCAAGTGCTTCACATTTCCTTTTGAGTTCATCACTTCTTGAATTACCATTCTCTAAAAGAACGGGAAAAGTAGTTTCAAGCTACTTATAGCCACTGGATAGAAATCAGTAATGCAACTCCTTTCTTTAAAACTAATTCTCAGAATGTAAGAATTTTTGTTAAGGCTAACTTCTGGAAATACACTGACCACTTCATAGTTTAACATCTTAGTTTAAAAAATTAGATATAAGATCAATGCCATACTTAGGATGCAGTTTAGGATGAGGAAGATACCCAGTTGATAATATCAAGTTGAAATAAAAATGAAGATAGCTCAGTTATTCTAGGAAAGTAGGAACAAAAATAGAGATCAGTAAATCTTGGCTGCTGAATACAGCTGAACCTCCATACTCTGAGTATCCCTCATCTGGGAACACATGTGGTATGGTGGAGGAAGCAGCTCTGCCTTCCCTCCTTCCCCCATCAGCTGGGGAAATGGCAGCACACAGGTCAGCTTCCCCTGAGGCATAGCAGCAGATGGTGGTGCCTGGGAGCAGCAGGGAGTAAGGATGTTAAGAGCCAGATAATTGGTATCAACTACATAATTAGTCGATAAGGGGAGGCGCTCTGTCCCAGCTCACACAAGTCCAGGAGCTACTTGCACTGTGGAGGCAGCCTGGCTCCAACTACATGTAAACTGCAGAGCTGAAATGGGGTAGGTCATGGATCTGGTGCAAGCTGAAAGAGAGCTGGGATTGCTGGGGGAAGGGAGGAGGTCTGCATTTTAAATGCAGTAAGAACTAGGTGGCTATTACTACATTTAAGATCTAGGCCACAGCGGTCCCAAGAAAGAAATGGAACTAAAAAATAAAGGTGTGGCTAGATAAAGTAGGGACAGCAGGGTGCAGACTTGGCTCCCCAGACCTCAATCGCCAGCCCTGTCCATGTCCCCCTTGTCTCACAGATTCCATAGAGCAAGAGAGACACCAGGAAAAATCACTGTCAAGAGAACCAAGCAGAGAAGAAAGGTTTGAACTACCCGTGGCGGGGGCAGGGTTTGCACCCCTCACCTGCCTCTCTGCCACTCCACGGCGGGGGCAGGGTTTGCCCCCCTCCCCTGCCTCTCTGCCACTCCACACCCTTCCCTCCCTTTGCCCCTCCCTGTGGTTGAAAACATAGTATCTCTGATCAATCAGGGCAAGTGTGGGGAACCTTTTTTGGTTTGGGGCCACTGACCCACAGAAAAATCAGTCAGGGTCTGCACACAAGAAGCAAAAAGGGGGGAGGGGAACCTCACTGATGTTGCCCACAACTGAGAAGAAAGACACACTCCTCACATTACTCTTGTACACCAGAGCATTGGGGTATCCAGGCAGGTAGATTTTGGATGCTCTAACCCCATGTGTGGATAGTGGTGGTGCTGCTGGAGCACCAGTGCAGGCTCCTTAATGCTGAGGGGTGGGGCTGTGGTTCAGTTTCTCCTGGGCCGGGGCTAGGGTGCTATTGTTAGTACGATGGCTCCAGCTCCAGCAGCCGCCACATGGCCCACGCTAGCCACAGCTCCAACACTGGGGAAGAGCTGAAACTAGAACTAAGGCCATGTAAGGAGGTGGACGGGACTCAAATTGTTAGTGCATGCCCAAGCAGTCATGTACCTTAGAGGGAACTATGGGGCAGGGTCAAAACCTGCCTTGTATGGCTAGCTCAGGATTTGCCGACACACATATCTAGCAAAGGGCCTTCAAGCCCCCTCATTGTGTGATTTATATTGAGCCTGCATTTATTTCCAGGACATCCCCTGATGTCACACTGCCCAAACCTGTTGAATAAACATCCTCGGTTTGGTTCAGCTAATTTCCAACTGCACAGCACCTCTATTTAAAATGCAGAGCTACAGCAGTCCCAGACCAGGGCTCGCACTGGGCCCAGTAGCCCCAATCCATGGAGGTCCTAGTGGGAAACTGGGACCCCCTGCGGACAGGGGTTGCTGCCAAAGCAGCCTCCCCTACTCTCCCCCCAGCTGCTGCCTCTATCAGAGGTGGGGGAGGGGGCAGGTGGCACCGCTGAGATGATGCTGGGGGGAACCAGCTGTTAAGTCGGCTCCCCCCAGCACCTGCTCCTGTTTCCCCACCTTTGCTGCCTCTATCAGAGGTAGCAAAGGGGACGAGGGAGTGGAGCAAATAGTTGACTTGACTACTCAATAAGTTTAGGCTTATTGTTTAGTCAGCTACTCATTTACATCCCTAATGGGGAGTGTGGGATCCACATGTGCCCAGACCCTACAGTCCTCTCCTTGGCCCAGCAAAATCTTTAATACAGCATACCCTGTTTCCCTGGATTGCCATATTAAAGAGGTTCAAGTGTACTCTCAAATTTAAGTTGTTTTTCGAAACCTGCTAGGTCACCAAGAGTAACAAAAATTCATTGACATGACAAGAATGCCTGGCTGTACCACATCAGAAAGTGTATATATGTTATGGTAAGCTAGTGGTTGGAAGAATGCTCTTGAAGTCAGAACTTTTGGGTGCTATTCCTGGCTGCCCCACTGACATGGTGTGACATCTCACGGAAATCACTTAATCATATTTTCATCTTACCCTTATGTGAGAGAGGCACAATCACAAATGTTTAACACACAGGTGTGTTGTGAAGCCTAAATGTTTCTCTGTTTCCTAGTCCAGAGGTTATCCCCTGCAAGCACTAACACTCTTTAAGTATCAGCAACTGCTACGCTTCACATCTGAAATGCCTAGCAGTTTTCTCCAAATCTGTGATGCAGCTACAGTATTTGCATGCTTTCAAGAATGTGATTTATATGCAGAATGACACTATTTATAGTTTTGTATTGTACTGAGTAGAAGGAAATGAGGGTTTGGTGTTAAAGCACAGACACTGAAGTCAGCAGTTTCCTGGTGCATCCATAAGGATGTGACCCTGGGATAGGAATACCTCCCAAGCATTCATAAATTAAGCCTAACAATTTACAAAGCATTTTGGGACCCTTGGTTGGAAGCCATTATAAATTTTAAGTGAAAAGTGTTAGTATATACTAGTGCTTTTTTACAACAACAAAAGCCATTCACAAACATACCAAAAGATGGAAGATGTTAACCAGAACATTAAAAGCATCACATGCATTCCATTTCTTACCTGCCAGGTCAGAACTTTTCAGAGTCAGTTCATAAGTCAAATCTAAAAAATAAAATTAAAAAAAAATAAATGAGTTTTATTTTTTGGATATTGCTTCTGATTAAAATAGAGAATATCTACAACAAGTCTAGAACTATCTTGTGCATTCATAAATGTTTCTACAGATTGGACCTCACTGATTTGACACCCAGCAAGGGAGTCTGCTGGACCAGGAGAAATTGTTTCTCTCCCCAACAGCTGGATTCCAGTTGGTTCCACCAGCTTTGCTGCCCCGCCAGCCTAATGGGGTCCAGCAGCCTCCTGGACTTCTCTGCACCACCAACCCTGCAGCCTCCACCAGCCCCAATGGCTGAGGGCTTCTCTACCCCAAGGACTCTGGAAGCCCTGCTGGACTCGGCCGGCTAGCAGGCTTTGGTTGCCCAGGCTCCAAGGGGTTTGCTGCCATGTCAGATTCCAGCAGCCCCATGGGCTTTGCTACCCTACCAGCTCCACAAGCTCCAGCAGCCCCACCAGCAGTGGGCTCTTTTGCCCTGACAGCCACCAGTAACCTTTGCCGCTGGCACAGTCTAGTCCAGCAACTGCATAGTCCTGCTGGACCACAGATTTTGCCAGACTAGAGAGTACCGGACCATTGAGGTTCAACCTGCAATAGCCAAAGGCGGCTTCAATAGATTTTAAAAGTCAGTGCCTTAATGAAAGCTATAGAAAATGCCTCACAACTATCACTTCATCCTACAGATGCAGGTGTTAAGTTTTGGATTTAATTTGATTGAATTAAGTGTTCTAACATGTTTATTATGTAAATATTTAAAATTATTCCCATGACTGAAAGTGAAAAATAAAATTTGTTCTCTCCAATTTTTCATTTATTAGCAATTTTTGCCATTGACTAATTTAATAGTTTTTTTTGCTTAAATTCAATACACATTTGTATGCTAATACCGTGGAATATTCTCTCAAAAGCTGTTGACTGGACAAAGCTTTGACTAATATATGACAGGGAAAAATCCTGAACTGGCTGGGAATACACACAGGTTCGTTTTGTGCAGGTATAGTAATTCATATTAAATGGAGCCAGTAAAAATGTCAGCATGATCTCTGGTACTAAATCAAAATCAGTTTTCACTAAGACATTAGATCTGAGGGCAAGTTATAGTTTTATTAGACCATACATACATTTTATAAGCTCTTAAACAGCAATGCAATAGAATTGCAGCATTACAAAGACCTTAGGAATGGCGGTTGTTTTAGTTGTTCTTTCAAAAGTTTATAACTGAGCATTGACTTAACAAAGCTTTGAAACTATAATACACAGAAGAAAGTGCTGCTTTGAGTAGTTTAACACAGTACTCTAGTGCCTCTTTTATTCATCTTTGCTGCTGCCTGATCGTGCACTTATGGTTTCAAATGAAGTGTGTTGTCGTCTGGTTAATTCATAACTCTGATTTTCTATTGTACAGGCAATCCCCGACTTACACGGATCCGACTTACGTCGGATCCGCACTTATGAACAGGGCTTTTCTCGCCCCGGAGCTCGCAGGCAGCGGGACCGCCCAGAGTGCACTGGTCCCGCCACCGCGTCCTCCGGGGCGAGAAAAGTTGCTCTGGGTCTCCCTGGTGTGCTGGGGAAGACTCCCCAGCACAGCAGGGAGACCCGAGCAAAGCCGCACAA